GAAATTCTTTCAACTAGAAGCATCTGCCGAAAAAACCGATGCCGGTACCGACAAAAACTGCGGGGATCTCTGCAAAAAACGCATCTTCGTACGGGCAGCCCGTGCGTTGGCCAATTTTTACGTTTTGTGCTCTGCAACAGCTGCACAGAACGCATACTGTCACCAGCCTATCTGTATGTGTGTCTGATTGAGTGCGTGTGTATATTTCCTACTGCGTTTTGTCCGCAATTTTCAACTCGGAAACTGTGAAAGCTAGGAAGCTGAAATTTTGGAGGAATTTCCTCTACCGACATGTGATTCCGCAAATTCAAATTCAGGTTTCACGCGCCCTGGACCTCGCGAAAGTTTTAACGAAAAAATTATCTCGGGAGCCAGGGCAGCTCGAACGCTGAAAATTTCAGGGAATATTTTTTAATTTCAGTACAAGTGAGATTATTTCTCTCAACCAAAACAGCAATACACATATTGCTCGGGAACAGAGTTGTTGCAGAATTAGCAAGTTTGTTGTTTAAACGAGGTTCCATTAAGCGATTCTTATTAGTTTTCTACATTTCACGGTGTGCATCACAATGCACGCAAAATGCGCTGGGAGGGTAGAATGCTTCGCGGTAAGGGGCAAACTGCGCTCAGAAAGGTAAAGGAGAGGAAAACAATAACAGTTTATGCAATAGTGACTGAAATTTATCGTTGCTAGCTCCTCTGGGGATGCAAATTTGAGTGGTGGACAGCAGTAGGCCCCTCATCTTGAAAACACGCAAAATAAAGCTTTCATGCTTATGCAAATTCAGAAGTCAAAACTCCACCCTCCCTCCCCCCTCTCCGCCCCTTCCGCCCTCCCCCTGTCCCTGCATTTCGCTGTCATTGGGAGGCGAGAACATTCGGGAAGTAGCCTGAATGGTAGCAGATGCCAAAAGCAAACAAACGCTGGCAAGGTTGTCAATGGCTGCGTTTTCTGAGGGTTTGCTTATAAGCAAGCTGATGGTGGATACGAAACAAACACATACAAATGCTATATTCTGTGGGCAATGATTACATATTTCATCGGGTCATTTGGAGTTGGGAGCCGTGCTAGTGATGTAACTGAGATTCGTCCTTATGTCGGTCTTATTTGTGCCACGCCTTTCGATTCTGATTTGCTTGCATCCAGTTACCACCTAGGACTTGTGCGATGTAGATGGAAATGATTTTAAAAAGGATGTAAATTTAACCCAGGCTAGCCGGTGCGGGCATGCGTTTCTGCTCAGTTTTTTATGCAGGTTTTGCTCACAGGCGTATGCATTTTGCAACGAACGACCGCTCTCATCCTCTCCCAACATCCAGTTCCAATTCTACACTGAAAAGTGGAAATGTTGCTAGAGCGGTCGTTCTTCAAAAAATCCAAATATGTAAATGAACTGGATGTCGCTGCAAAATGCACTCATTTCTGAGTTTTTGGTAAAGATGAGTATTTCTCATATCCAGTTGCAGGAAATTTCACTCCCAAGCAGAATAAAGATCGCACTTGAAAGTAGAATATCCCAGCGAAGTTTCAGCCTCGCACATTACCCAATAAGCGAAATAGCCACCTAGCTACCAATATCTTTGGAATGCCACAGGTCGTGGCGCAAGTGCAAATCGGACCTCATTTTAGGTCCACAGTTTCCCATACAGTCATTGTTTTCTGGTTAGTTTTCGGGTTGGCACAGTTCCAGGTACAAACTTTGATGTAGCCGGGCACGCTGCATAAGCGTGCGCAATGGCTAAACTTGAAATCTGTAGCTCAATAACCATGTAGAAAATATCCCTGCAAAGTTTCAGCTTTCCATTTTGCCCGGTTCCCAAAATCGTTTCCCGTCAAAGAAATTTGTATATTTTTTTCGGCAGTCAATACGACAGATCTAGGCGCGAGTGGGGGAAGATCTTAAAGCAGGAGAGTGACACGCGGAGTGGGGATATGTCTCCAAAACTTCATTCTCCAAACTTTCCAGGTGCTGAGTTGAAAGTGGGTGACAAGGTTCGCCCGCTTCCGAACACGCACACACTGGCGACCTCTCGACAATATGCGTTTTTGCTCGCTATAAATGTGCTTTCTGATTTTCTTCCCCCAAAATTTTACCGATAAACTGAATCCATCAAATCGGACAGAATCCGTAAACTTACTTCGGAATGCCTAAGAAATGCATGCTTTTCATATTCATGATCCTGGTTTGTGCTGATTA